TTCAGGTTGTGTGGTCAGCTACACGTCAGACCTGACCAAGAGTGGACCTAGGAAGAGCCCTTATACCCCGTTGGTGGTCTCAGGTCGTACCAAGCCTGGAAAATTACATGCCACGCGGTGTTGTGCGAATTCAAGGCCATGATCATCCACATGGCATTTATAAGCATGGCAACAGCAGCATTATGATACAAGTTGCCTCCTTCCCTGCTGGAAGACTAAACGTTACACCGTGTTACCACGAGAACCCGAGCTCCGACAGAAAAACCGTCGCCATGACTCAGCCCGAAAGCTCGCAGTGGCACCTCTTCCAGGCCAATTGCCTATGCGTCTCTGTGTCCTCAACTACTCCTAGGTCCACAGCCGCATCATCAGATCAGTCAAATCCGATCGTCCTACCACACCCTCTGAGATGGTCAAATCATCTGATCAAACGAGGGAATCCACTTCCCAGCCCGGTCCATTCTGTCTTCCCAGTATCATACCGCGTGGTTGGTCTATCTCGACTAACTTCCGAACCCACGCAGTCCTTCCGCGTCCTTGCACACTCACCCTCCATTCAGTCACGTCGGTCCAGTGTAGGTGAAGAGGAGTTGAGCCCTCGAGATTCAATGACCGGGTTCTCAGAAAACCAGTCCCTCCGCCAGAGGACTGCCCCAAAAGGGACTTGCATTAAACAAGTCGTCGGCAAGGTCCTATCGTCATACTCGTTAAATACAGAGGACGAAAGATTCAACTTGGGTCTAATCAGACCAGCCTCTCCCTCCTTCCCTCCAAGCTATTTCTGAGACCCCTGGTCTCCAACTCAGCTCCATATTGGGCTGACGCAGGAAGGGATACGCGCGGTTCAGCGAACCTATTTACCATTGTTTGTTTCGAAAACTCCCGGACATTGTCTCTCTCCGTGCCCCCCCTCAGCACCCATTCCTAGCCTCTGAAGGCAGCCATGGCTGATCGAAATTCGCTGGGTAGCATCAGTGGCTGGGATGGGAGTTAAAGCCCACAGCGTGGTCATGGTATATCGGAAGCCGCCGATAACAATTCTCAACAGCGACCTCCATGCCTCTGGTCGTGGAGGGGAACTATCCGTACCTGCAACTGACTTCAGTTCGGTTGGCTACCCTCGATCTGCCAACCAAATACTACCGGCTATCCGGATCCGGTATCACCAGTTACAGTTTCCATTCCTTATTGTACCATACGTTTTCATGTCTCTATTACGACCAGACTCATCGAGTTCCAAGCTGTCGATCGTCACCCTCTCAGGGATCTCAGGGAGGTTAATCCCTTACGTTTTCACGTCTCTATTACGACCAGTTCCAAGCCATCGATCGTCACCCCCTCAGGGATCCCAGGGAGGTTAATCCTACCCCAAACTGCACCATGCACGAATCTTCGCACCTAACCCGGTCGTTGCCAAGTCACTCTGGCTGGGTAGTTCCCGGACCCGACTTCACTAGACATCTCTAACCCGACCACTCAACGCACATCCCATCTAGGGAGTCTACTAGCCACAGCATGTTTCCCCATACGCCATGCCCACGCTGGTCGTTCCACCACGTAGACTCAATGAAGCGGGCTAGTCGACGCACGCGTTGTGCCCAAGGATCTCCTATCGGATCGAACTTCGACCTCGATCATGGTGCCTATGACGGAAGGCTCACTCGCGAGCTAATGTATGACCCTCACAACATAATGCGCCAACAAGAGAGGCCTACAGTTTGGAGCCTCGGCTACGGCACACCCTCAACGCGCTGGTCTCTCGAGACCCCACGTCTCCTGGAGAGGATTGTCTGCTCTCGTTACTGCCATCTGCGAACTCGCAGTGTTTGGTCGTACTGGCTGTGAACCGTGCCAAGAACGGTGTCTCTGATTGCTACAGCGCCCCTGCAGGTCGTCGCTCATACGCAACGTTTGTAATATTCGCATGGAGCACAAGTATGTGCGAGGTGTCCCTTCTGCGTCCTTACACTCACACCAACGGCTCCGCTGCCAACGATGATCTACTGGCATAGGTGCAGAGTGGAGGGGACTTCTCATGTCCAAAGTCATGGGCTCGATCTGCCAATCCGACTTCGTCCCCTAGAAGACACGGACAGGTCTAGGCGGGAAAACTCCCTTTGGCCCAGGGTTACTCAAGTCGGACGATGAGGGCATGATTGTCTCGCTCAGGTACAAGGGATGATGCCTTAACCCGGATCGTCCTGGATGCCGTCCCGGGTGCTACTGTTGACTCAAGCCGGAGATGGTTCCCTCCCCAGCGGACGTAACGGTTTCGACTGTTAGGATGCCAAACAACCTCACCACAGCCGCCCAGGTTCAGGCCGTGGCTGAGTACCACAGACAACGGACCCAAGCAGCTGGGCTCAGTCAGCACCGCCATGGAACTATGGACACTTTTGGCTGCTACCCCAGGGTCAGCCTTGTTGCCCGTGGTTTCAAAACCACGTGGTCCCAAAGCTACTTCAACACCCGACGGCCCTGGAAGTTCCACTACCCAGCAACACCGACCCCAACAGGATCACCCACCTTATTACACCCTCGGTGGTGTCCATCACTATGCCGCGATGATCTCTAGGGTGAATTCCCTTTGCCAATGGATGAGACCGGCTCCCTCCCATGTAGATAGACCCAACTCCCGGGTCGGACACCAGGTACCGCGCCACCCCGATGACTCAAGGTGGACTACCAGTGGGAAAACGGCTGCCAAAGAGCGCGGGGAAAAACTAGGGGAGATTGGGGTGCCAAATCAACAGCTACATTCCGTCTTTGATTATTCATCTCGGAAGGATAGAGAGCGACTGCAAGAACCAATGATCGCCCAGGCTGTCTTGTGAGGCTTCCAACCATTTAGTACAGATGAAACGAGACAAAGCCGGCATACAACCTACATTCAATCCCAGCTCTATCCCTCCAACTCCTCCTATGTGGGTTGGGTGACCATCCCGGATCTTCTATCCTGCACAGGCCACCTCCAAGCTGTTGTGTTTAGAATGCCAATGTCCATATTAAGCCAAGCACAACCCTATGTGAAGGAGGGGGATTTCCACGTGGGAAACAGGACATGCCACACTACCTGGTCCGAGTCGTCTAACTGGACTACAGATGGATGATCCAATTTCAGGACACCTAGGATCCCTGGTCTATTCCTAACATGATTGCACACAAGATCATGCTGCCCAAGCTCACTGCTGGACCAGAGCCAGATGAAGTCTAGGACCACATCTGTAAGGATGGTCTCCAAGCTCCATTCCTAAACCAAGGCCAGCAACACTGGGAACCTGGGCTCTTGGATAATCAGAGGAAAGACATTGCTGTCACACTGGCCCATAAGAGTCTGGGGGGCGATGTTATGGAAATGGAGAATCTTATGGTCCGTGACAGGCAACCAGACCTTGAGGCCCTTTGCTATGGAAATGGGCCTAGACTCCTATAGACCAGGCACACAGGTAAGATATTTCTTACTTCTTCTCACTTCATTCTCTGCCAAACCCCATGCCAAGCTTTCCCACTGGGTTTTGGTGCTGGCTGGGGGATTTGTTGATTTCCAAAGGACTTCCTTTGGCCATTATAACATTTGTATTAGATAGATACAAGTCATATGATATGTATGGTAATTGCCGAGATGTTTTCTCATTATCAAATACATAACCCACAAACCTTGTACCACGATTGTAACATCCTCACCATTGTGTCACCACTGTAAACTCAATCTGTAACCCTGGAACCATGTCCACCTCCCTATTCCTCCTCTCCATGACAAAACCGCAACGAGGAGGGCATTCCTATGCCCAACCTCCTGCTGCCCGCTCCCACCAGTCCACTGGGTGGTCGAGTGGTTACTCCCATCCAACCAGAAGTTCCCTATCAGGAACTGTAGCCTACCCCACCTCCTCAGGAGAAGGATACGGTCCAGGCAGCTCCAGGATGCCTGGCCACGCACCCGCGGGTCCCACTTCCCATGGTCACCCACTACCGTGCACTGGTCCACCAGCCCGCTTTCCCCAACAACTCCCGCTACCGGTACGCTCCCATGAGCGCCAAGTCACCGATAGCCACCAACTGGGTGACTCCCTTTGGGAGTCCCAGTATCCCTCACTACTGGTACGCTCCATTGAGCGCCAAGTCACCGCTAGCCAAACACTCCCAGCACACCCGCTACCGGCACACTCCCAGGAGCGCCAAGTCCCCGTTAGCAGACGGCCAGGTGGCTCCCTCAGGGAGCCCACATCATACTCGCTACCGGTACGCTCCCAGGAGCGCCAAGTTACCGTTGGCCGACACACAGGTTGTACTTCCATACACTCATCCTATTCTGCTCTCCCTCCGATGGCTATGCAGCCACCTTCATTAGTGAGCCAAATGGCTCAGGTTGTTAGAGATGGGCGGAAACGGACGACTCCGGAGTGGAATCGGAGACTTAGCGTGGAGGGACCTTGGCCTCAGCGACTCAAGCGGAGTGCTGTGCCATTGCTGTTTGTCCATTTGGTCCTTAATTTCACAGTAGGTGAGCAGGAAGTCTCTTGGGGGCATTTCAGGTCGATTTCGGACTGAAACCAGACGAGTATGTACAAGCACCGATATATATAAGGAAGGGGCGAAAGCACAAGGAGAAACAAAGGGTGACCGAATCGGAACGAAGACGTCCGAACGGGAACAAAGGGTTAGAGGGAGCGGAGCGGTACCGAAGGTCATAGGGCAAGACCTGTGATACATCCGAAAGGAGGTAGAGTGGGCGAGGCCCAGAGGGGCAGGAGGATGAGGGGAAGTGGGGGTGATGACTAACTGGCTAGAATAGAAGGAAGCAGTAGTCCAAATAGGGATGAGGGGGAATTGCGAGAAATACATTACAAACGGCGAGAGTGCCGGAGGCGGTCCGCGAAGCTCGGGGGTTGCGGAGCTTACGGAGGTTACGGAGGCGGGGTTGGAAGTCCGAGGAATATTGGCAATGGTGTTTACGTAGTATGAGGTCACCAATGCAATGGACTAAGACCGAGGTGGAGTCAAAGTCCGAGGTATGGACTATGACGGAGGCTCGGAGTAAGGTACGAACGGTGTCCGAGTGTGAAGTACGGAACAGCGGTGGATGGTCGTAACTTGGCGGAAGGGTGGCGGAGGAGTGACGGAGGAAGGAGAGAGGGGACAGGTAAGGAAGAGTAGTCAGGTCCGAAGGTGGATATCGGAACGGACGGAGAAAGCGTAGGGGATGACGGGAGGGTGGAGGTGTGGTGAGGGGGGAGCGGAGTTGTAGGAAGGGTGGCGAGTAGGGCGATGTTCGGTCCGAGATGAGTATCGGAACGGACGGAGAAGGGGTCGGAGAGGTAAGAGGAGGGGTGTGTTGCCAAGACCGAAGGTGAGTATCGGAAAGGCAGCGGTAGGTTATGACTCCGGAGGTGAAGAGGGTGGAGGTCCGGAAGTCGGGTCGGGGTCGGGTATGCACGGATATGACACAGGTTGGGTTCCCTGGAACCCATTCCTGTAACAAGCGGGGTTGTCTCGAGCCCGTGTTTTCTGACAAACTCGGGGCTCACAAAGTTCCCGGTAGCCCCTGAGTCTAAGAGGGCTGATACAGAGACAGTAGCGAGGGAGGTCAAGGTGGTCAACTTTACAGCTAGGTTAAGGGATCTGGGGGGTTGCTTTGACAGCACGTAGATGGCAGGTGGCAGGACCGCTACCTCCAGCGCCGCGCTTGGTATCTCTCTGTTCAAGGATGCGGTTTTCCTCTTTTTCTTGGCAATGACTCGGTGGAATTTAGACGTCGGCGCCGACTTAGGTGCCTCACGGTATCTACATGAGTTGGTACTATCGCCTGCAGGTGGCCAGGACGCGTCCCTCACCGGTCGCCTTCCTGAAAATCCTCTTGGGCCTCTGCTTCCTGCCCTTCTCCCTCTGCCTCTGGCCCATCTACCAGCTGTCTCCTCAGCCCCTCCATGAGCGCTCTGAGGTCTTCGGGGTGCATCCGTCTAGCTCGGCGGGTTTTCGGTTGCGGGCAATCCTGCGCGATGTGCCCTGGTGCGTTGCAATTGTAACACAGCCCGTTTCACCTCTGGTCGATCCTCGAGTGGTCAAGGTCCATGGGTTGTGGCCCTGCTCCTGCCGCGGGGCGGGGGGCGGGGGGCTGGGGCGTGGCGGCAGTGGGTAAGGGGCGTGGCTGTGGGAGAGTGGCAGGGAGTGGGGGTCTCGGGGGTAAGAGTGGGGGTCTGGTGGGGGCTAAGTGGGGTTGCATTGCCTGGAAACGCCGCCACTGGTTGTCAAGGAGGGTGGCCTCGCGTTTCCACTCAGCCCAGGTCGTTGGCATGGGGCGGAGGCGGTAAATGCTTTCGCAGAGGCAGGAGTTGATCGCCTGTTCGAAGCGATCCACTAGCCCCACGTCCCCTAGCCGTGAGGCGGGTCCGAGGATCTCAAACTCCTGGATGATCTTATCCACAGAGTTGCTGCCCTGCCGCAGGGTGGCCAACTTCTGTCTGGCTGTAGCCTTGTGGTTCGGGTCTTGGAACATGGCGTCGAGTTCTGTGTTGAACTCGTCCATGGTGAGCTGGGGGAGCCCGTTGTCAGTAGCGCGATGGTGCACTGCATCGCCCATGCCCCTGCAGTCCCTCCCTTCATATAGGACAGGACAAAGAGGATCTGGGAGAGGGGGTTGGGGAATTCCGCTGCTCGGACATGGAAGTATATCCCACATTCGGCCTTGAAGCGGTCAAGGTCTTCGGCTGCTCCAGAGAAGGCAGTGGGGGGGCGACTTTAGGCGGTTTGGGTCTGGGGGCGGGTGCAGGTGTTGGTGCGGGAACCAGTGCCGGTGCAGGTGCGGCTGGGGGTTGGTTCTGAGCTTGGCTTTCTACGATGGCCTGGAGCTCGTGAAATCAGGACAGCAGTTCATCGTACTGCTCTTCGGTCACCATAGTGGGGGAGGCAGGGAAGATGAGGTTGAAGCCTTCTTCTGCTGTCAGGGACAGCTCTGAAAGCGGTGAGGTCCCTGCGCACGGGACTCGGTGGGACGAATAGCAGCTGTGCGTAGCGGCGATCCCGTCGCAGGGTGAGCGTCCCCGACCACTTAGTCTGAAGTGGGAAGTTGAGATTATCATTAAAGGGGAAAGCTACGGTACTTACCTGAAGTGGGAAGTTGAGAAGAAGGCTGCTTCTTCTGTTCCCACCCCAGGCACTATTATATACATGCGGCTAGGGTCACGTGGAGGAAGCCATGTCATCTCCGCACACAGCCGCACCTCCCTGGGTGTCTCCACAGGAGATCCTGGAGGTGGCCGCTCAGTAGGTGGGAGTGTGCACGGCGCGTGCGGCGATCAGGGGGGGCAGGGTTAGGTATGTAGTGGTACATAGAGAAAGGGAAATCGACCGTAGGATAGAAATAGAAATAGAGATAGAGAGAAAGGGGAAAGTGGGGGAGGAGAGAGGGGGAGTGATAGCGGGGTAGTGGAGTGCGGCGCAGGGTGCAGCGCGGGGTCAGGCGGGCGTGCCCTGACAGCAAGTAGATACACTTGCCTACTGTGGGTAAGAAGATGAGAAGGAAGCTAACTTCTCATCTTCCCACAGTGGCCACAATATCAGGCAAACTTCCAGGGATACCCGGAAGTCACATGAGGGGGTGGGAACCAGGCCTGGAACATGCGGCAAGCAGAGCATGCATGGATGCGGGAAGCGCAGTGGGTGGATGCGGGTCTGGATGCGGGTCCGGGTCCGGGCTAGTCAGGGTGTGTGCCCTGACAATTTCTAAGGAGGCTCAATGGTGGACATAGTTGTAGAGCAGCAGCTGTGGCCAAATCATGGCTAAATCAGGCTGAAAATGATACTCTTGTTGACTTTTTACTCCTCATGTCAGACTGTGGCTTCCCCTTAGCATGTGGTGGAGCTGTGGAGTATGCACTAGAAATTTCCCAAGTCCGACATCCTGATCTCCAAACACCAGGCAAGAACTGGATTGACAATGTCTTGATCCATAACAAGGACCGACTCAATTCAAAATGGAGCTCAAACCTTGAGAATATTTGCAGTGGTGCTGTCAACCCCACTACCTTAGAACATTGGTTTCAGCTCCTGTATGCTCAATACAAGGAGTTCAACTTCTTGCCTAAGAACATATATGGGATGGATGAAAGCAGGTTCCCATTTGGTACTGGGGAAAAGATCAAAGTGATTGCATGCAAGATGACAAAACAGGCACATGTCCAACGTGATGGCAACCACGAGAATGTTGGTGTCATTGTGACGGTCTGTGCTGATGGCTCCTATGTGCCACCAGTCATGATCTTCAAAGGACAAAACATAAATTCAAAATGGTTGCAGAACAACCCATTGAAATGCGTGTAAGTCTTGATGTTCACAATTCAACCTAAGCTCACTTTTGGCAGGGTTGCTGTTTCTGACAAGGGCTGGACAGACCATGAGATTGGAATGGACTGGCTCCAAACATTCAATGAAAATACAGAGAAGGCAGCGGACCATTACCGTCTCCTCATCGTTGATGGGCACAACTCCCATTACAGCCTTGACTTCATCTCATATGCACACAAGCACAAAATTGTTGTGATTTGTTATCCTGCTCATACGACTCATGTGCTTCAAGGACTTGATGTTGTGATTTTCGCCCTTCTCAAAAGATCCTTCACCAAACACCATGATATTTATAACCAGGAGAATGTCCCAAAGAAGTTGAACAAAACTTCATTTCTATCTGTGTTTGGGTTGGCTTGGGTGGACTCTGTCACCAAGGAACATGTCAAGACTTGTTTCCATGTAACTGGTGTCTACCCATTTGACCCAGCTGTAATCCACCCCCAACAACTGGCACCAAGTATTGAACACTCAACCTGTGCTGATCTCCCTCTGCCTGTTACATCACCTGTTAAGAAGATTATGTACTTCCACAGTCAACTCTTGGCCAAGAAGTACCAGTGCGAGGACACACCTTCCCCATTTGACAGCTCTCAGGACCCTGGGATGTACCTTGGCAGTCAGAGTGATCACTACAGTGAGGATGGCAACTTAGGCAACGATGACAATACAAACGATCAGCCAATATTTGATCCTATGATCTATGCAGTACATTGGCAGCGACCTGAGGATTCCTCATTGATACACACCCCAACATGCCAAAGCCAAGGCTTCTTAACGACATCTCCAACAGTAGTTGAGACACCAGTGGCATATTCCCAGGCAAAAAGGTGTGCAGTCGATGATTTAGAGCACATCATGTTGTTCTCATCATCGTCCAAATTTGTTGTTTTGACATCACCACTCCGTTCAACATTTGAACTTCCAAAGGAGGCATATGGGGATTCTGCAGGACTGAAAAGCATCCAATGGGACCTAGCTGAGGGAACAAGCTATGAGTCAAAGATGCATGTGGAGTTGATTGCCGAATTGCAAGAAACACGCTCTGAATTCCGGAGCGCAAAAGAGTATGTGGCAAGTGCAGTGTCAGCCATAGACACAACCGATGCCCAGCTAGCTCTGTGTGGAATGTATGCATCAAAGGCTCGGGCCCAGCTTCTCTCGCATGAAAAGGGAGACAAACACAAAGAGGAGGGTGGTCGGATCAAAGGCACATTTGGATGTGTGGTGACACACAGTGGCTTTGTTCAGCACCAAACAGACCGATTTAAGAGGAAGATGATGGAGGAAGAGTTAGAGAAGGTAAAGAAGGAAGTACAGAAGGATTGGGAAGTTCCAAAGAGGGCAGAAGACATGTGCGGCAGTGTGGAAGGAGAAGGAAAGGTTGCAGGCACTAGAGCTGAGGGTGCCAAAGAAACCGAAAGGAGTCAGAGTGGATAGCAGCGAACTATCCCCAGCTGGCTGGTTTGGCATCAGATATGGTCAGAGAGTGTGGAGGGGAGGAGGTTGAGCCCATTGGGGATGACAACGAGTGATTGGGTTGGCACATGGTATCCATTGTCACACCTTGTCATGCAAAACCATTGAGTAGGGAAGGCCTCATTTTTTGTTTGCTCATATACTCACTCATTTCCCATCTGTTTGCTTTAATATTTCGTATACATGTAAACATTTAGTTTGGCTATGATCCATAATGATAGATTTCCGTTTGGTGCTTATTTCAGGTTGCAATCTCAAAATTACAAAAACAACACCATTCATGGGTGAATTACTGTACTTAACTTGCCTGTCTCAGTTGAGTTTTCCCCCGCTTTGTGTCGCTAATAATTGATATTCAGTGATTCTGGACTTTGTTCCACAGTTCAGACTTTTCAGGTTGCCATATGACCTATGGATAGCACGTCTACTCTTTCACTATGGGAGAGATTGTGGAACGACAAGCTGAACATTTGGCTAAGTGGGTGGTGGACTGATTGGAGTGTTCATATTCCATCGGTTGAACGGTTGGTAGGTCATTGTACCAGTAAGTGTACAAGTTTTCTTTTTGACTGCATCTCAGTGAACACAGATGCGATGCTGATGAATTATTTGTCTTTTTTCGCCCCGCAGTTTCCCATTGGGGCCAGCTGGATTGCGTGGCGATTAACAAGAGCAACTGGATCATTAGCTAATTATTGGGGCCCTCCATCGGAAAAGTACCGTGCACGCGAGATTGATCATTCTTCAACCCCTCAGCTCGACGCGCATTTTTGTCCGCCACCTCCCCCAACCCCTTTCCTGGGATGCCTGCACTGAAACCTTGCTCCTGTCCTTCGGCCCCCGTGCTGTTGCTGACTAATGTACCTCACAGCACGTTGTACCACGGAAGCGATGCATGTGCACATAGAGGAAGACAGTTGCAGACACCTACGTGCCAGTGTGCAGATCCTTGTAGTGATGTAGCGATTCGGCTCGGTCTTGGAACGGCTCGACTAGCGTCGTACTACATTAATTACGCTACAGGGTGCCTACAATGCTTGAAAATGACCAAAAACTACGAAACAAAACCAATACCCAACAAAAATCATATGGGATCTGTATTCCTGGGACATGAAGGCCATGTACAAGCCAATC